ATTCTGTCTGACCATAAATATTGGGGATAAAATATCTCCACATTCAGTGAAAATAATGGTTTTTAATGTAAGCAATATGCAAAGTCTAAGAAATGGAATAAAGAAGGAATCTACTGTACATTGAATACTTGGCATTCTTGCATTCTGAACACAATAGGAAAAAGCAATGCGCTGACGAAATGATAAATTATTTTGAATGCTGCGAATTATCTCCTTTGAACTGCAGGTATTTATATACAAAGAGCCTTGCAAAAGAATTAAGCCCCTTCAGTGTACCATTTTGTAAAATAACAAATGTGGCATACACATTTTTAAATTAAATACTTTATTTAAAACTGGAATGCTAAAACTGAAGAGATTGTAAATGTCAGGACTTTTACTGGGCCACTCAAGCATATTTTCTTATTCTTAAACCACTCTAGCGTAGCTTCCACCTGAAGTTTTTCTCCCAGGTTTTGGTCTGAAGCAGGTTTTCCTCTACTGTTTTCCCAGCACATTACCATTACTCCACCTACAGTATGTTCGCATCAGTCTTGAAAGTTTAGTCCTAGTTGATGAAAAGCAGAACTACAACAGTGTTTTCACAACCATGCATGACATCACTGACACCAAATGTTGTTTTGTCTGGCCATAAGATCTGTTGCCAAATGTTTGCAGTATTTCCTTAATGTTTTATTGCAAATGCCAAGTGGGATTTGTTACCTTTTTAAGTTCCATACAAGCTCTCTTTGTAGAATGACTAGGATATTCTTGACCAATGGACATTTTTTCCCATCTCAGCTGAGGCTGTAACTTTGAAGCTCATTTAAGGTTCTCACAGTGGATTCCCTAACCAATGTTTTCTTTGCCTGGCTGATACTTAGGAGGAACAGCCTAACCTAAGCAGTGTTTCAGTGGAGTAGTCTTTTCTGTTCTAAGATATATTCAGTTTTTAACTGTTTTATACCTTTCATCTAATCTGTGCATTTCTACAACTTTCTGACTCTCTGAGTTGTTTTCATACTGTAGCTCTTTGATTTTACTACCTGGCCAAAGAACTTTACAGAAACAGGTGCATTTATTCTAAGATCATGTGATTTCATGTTAAATCACTATCATTATACAGTACCAACAGAATAGATTGACTTATCAAAGTAATTCTGTGCACCTGAATTTTGGTTTAAAATAGCAAAGGAAGGGAATAATTATGACCCGGGTACAACTTACAGCACTGCCTCTTCCACTCCATTCCAAAATAAAATTCAGTAATATATTAAATGCTTTAGAAGAATATCTAACCATTATTATTTCAATTCTCCACAAATTGATATCCCCAAAAGGCAATGAATAAAATCCAAGTCTCAACATTTAGACATCAGCCAAATTATATGTGACTGTAAAAGTCTTTCTTCTGATCTAGTTTAATTAAGCTATTTTATCATTTATGTGTCATGAAAGCTCATTTAAAACACGGGGATTTTAATTTATTTCTATTTTTTTGTTGCTCGTTCAACTTATGGCCCATTGGTTCACATCTACAATGTATTACAGATTTTCTTCATTTCATATGTTTGGAAGACAATTTGAATATGTGGAGTAGGTTGTATGCAGAACAAATATTTATTTCTGCTACACAGTGTCATGACTGCCATCTTTAACTCAACAGAATGTGAAAACTCTGCAAGAACCTGAATATTTTTAAAAGGCATCGTGTCATGAAAAAATCTCTAGTATCTTAGACCAATATATGCACATTATGAGCATTAGCAATCAAAACCTTCATTAGGGTCTTCTATTTGAACAGCTTTGAATGTTACCAATCCATCTTAGTTTGGGTGGGAGAAAACAATGCTTGCCATTTGACACATTTTAATTCACATTGGTAAAAATGTTGAAAAAACAGATTACCTCAACTCAAGGCAAACTATACACAAGTAGCCAATATGAAATATTGTAAAATCAGATCTATTACACTTACCAGTCCAGTCTGACTCATTTCAGTTGTTCCTCTCTACACATCCATAAGGCAAAAGGACTGCTTTTGATTTCTCTATTCCGAAATCTAGATTAATCTATTAAGATAAGGTACTAAATTAAAATCCAGTGTCGTATAGTTTTGCAGACGTGTTTGTGCATTAACTAAGTAAAATCATTGAGTTATGAGTAGAACAATGCAAAATGTCTAAGATTACATAAATTAATCATCAGGTTCTCTGATCAAAAGTAATTTAGAGAGACAAAATGGCAAACTGTGCGTCAACAGTTGCTGCAAAATCATTCAGAGAATCTCAGTTTTCTGTATTAGAGGATGGATCTGAAAATGATTAATTAAACTGCTCAGTGTAACATGCAGTGAGTCAGTGAGAGCCAGGACATGAAATGAGAATCTAATGAGAGAAAGACCTGTTATTTAATTACTAGGCAACTTTGTAGTTCTGATGGCCTCCTATATTGTCCTACAGAACTAATTGAATTCTGTCAATGAACAATTAAATTCCTTACAGGAGAGAAAATGTACAAATTTATCCTCAGTGACCATAAATGTAAAGCTTGGTTACCTACAGACCATCTCTCCTGATCTTAAATTGGTTTCGTGCCTCTTAGTCTTTTACTGGTCCTAAGGGGAGGTGGTGACATTAAAAACAAGAGCACAGATTTTTATTTTGGACAAAAGTACCAATATATTATTTGCATAATGTAGTGCCATGTTCCAAACGTAAAAAAGTCAGATGGAGGTTAACGGGGTTTTTCCATTTTTTTTTGCGAGAATGTTGTTACCACTTCTACTTTACTTTTTTTCATGTGAGGATTCCATTTATGTTAGAAAAAAGATTCTTTGTACATTTTGCAAAGGCCGTTCTGAATTTGACAGTTTTCTTATATGTCGATTTCTGTCTTTCCTGTCCTCAGCAAACTCCCTCAATGGCTGTGTTCCAGACTGCTGGGGTGCCCATTTCACCCACTGTGGCTGCACTCTTTGGAAACAACACCCAAGATCCATCCACAGAGGTTGCACGTGTGCTTCAGATGGTGGTCACCACGCTCATCTTCCTGGTGGGCATTCCTCTCAATGGGCTTGTCGTATGGGTGCTAGGAGTGAGGAGCCTCAGGAGGGGGGGGAAGAGAAGCAGTGGCAGTTTTGGCATGTATGTGGTGAATCTGGCACTGGCTGACCTCCTGCTGGTGTTGCGCACCCCCCTGGCACTGGGCTACCTGGCTGCTAATTATCACTGGCCCTTTGGCTTGCCCACCTGCAGACTAGTGATGGTCCTGCGTGTGCTGGGGCTCTATTCCAATGCCTTCCTACTGTGTGCCATCAGTGTGGAGCGCTGCCTGTGCTTGCTGCACCCCCTGTGGTACCGACTGCAACGCCCGCCCTGGGTCGTCCCACTGGTTTGTGGCATCCTCTGGATGGTCTCCATTCTCCTCAGCCTCCCATACTTCTTCACCAGCATTATCATCCCCTATAATAACCACAGTCAGTGTATGGAGAACACGCCCCAAAACCCCAGCAAGGGTCTTTTCATCACCGAGACACTGCTGGGTTTTCTGTTGCCACTGTTCATCTTTGTCACCTGCAACCTGGCCGTGCTGTTGACCGCTTGGAAGACAGGGGGCACCATGAGCCCCACACCCACCTCCCCACGATACACCAAGCTCTACCGGGTGCTCTTCTTCACCATGCTTGTCTTCCTCACCTGCTGGGTACCTTACTTCACCTTCCGCTTCTTGAAGACACTGTACGGGGATGATACACACCACCCCTTCTACATCTCGTTGAGGAAAGGAGTTTTTGTCTCACTGTACCTGGTGTACATAAAAAGTGCCCTGAACCCTGTGCTGTATGTGTTTGTAGGGAAGGGGCTTGGACACACCATCAAGGCCTCGCTGCTGTCTGCCATAGACCGCGTGTTCAATGACGAGACCTCCGACTACAGCCGCAGGAAATCGCTCCGAGAGCGGAATTCCCTGGTCTAGCCCACGTCGGATCCCATCTCGCCTTATGCAGACTAGCATCTCTCATTTTGCAAATTACCAATGCCCGCCCCTCAGTCTCCTAAACAACTTGTCTCTTCCTTTGTTTAGAATGCCATCTGCATGGCCCCTTGAGAACATTCACAGCAATCAAGGACTTTAAAACCAATTTTGAATATATCTGAAATATGACATGCAATACCTCAGAATAAAAGCCACACCTTTTGTTATTTCTTCCTCACCACAGTGGAATATTTACAGCAGAACTATTGAAGTCTGACAGATTTTTTTTAAGTTTTGTATATACCTAAAAAATAGCTGTTGAATAGGATCAAAGATTTTTCTTCAGATATTTTACTTATACTCCATTTGCTTTTTCTTTGTAAACTGAATCAAGCTTTAAACTATACTAATGCATTACCTGCTGTAGCTTTAATAATTCATTTTTCATGTTGCTGTCAAACTTCTAAAACGCCTTGAAATAGGTTGTCAGAGAAACTGATACTTATCAAAATAGTTTTAATCCCAGAAGTATAAAAATGTACTGTATTCATTGTTAAGATATATATTGTTAATATATTACTTTTTCAATCACATTATTTGTCCTCAGTAAAATTCATAAACCAAAAATCAAATCTGAAGAATTCCCTGGAATTGTGCAAATGGTACTACACATTCTCTACCTTACATATACGTCTGAAAACATGTTTGTTTGCAGGGTAATTCCCAACAGAATGAACAAACATGCAGCTTCTACCACTTTAAGATCAAATCCTATAGAGCAAACTGCTAAAATACTCTCTACTGAAATCCTTTTACAGAACTAGTTTCATATAATGTAAGAAAAACTACCTTAAAGACAATTTATAGAAAACATTTTTCAATTTGCCAGTGGTCTTCTAGGATGGATGTGAATGCAATTTTCAGAAATTCCATCTTCCAGACCAGTTTAATTCAGCCTACATTTCTCTGTGCATGTATGCACTACACCAGGAGAACACATGAAAGGACGGAGGGGCAAAGTACAGTTGATCCTCTTATGACGTATCAACTTCAGAAGAAAAATAAACTACTGTATGTATATGAGATTGTAAAATGATCTGCAAGACACATTCACAAACTTTATTTTAAAGTTTTTCTACATATCACATTTAACAACAAATCATCAGCAAATGAAAGACAATATGATAAAAAGGGTTTGATTCTATTGATTTTGTATATATAATCTGCAAATATATCAAATTATTAGTGTGAAGAATGCAGGCTTTGGAAATAGGTGTTATAAAAGGAGAATGCAAGAAAAAACTCAGATTTCTGCATCTAAAAGAAGGATTGAATATATAGTGCCTTGACAAAGGAACATTTTTGAGCCAAAACATTAGTTCGATAAATTCCAAGCAAATGGGACAAAAAGTTCTGACTTGCTGTCAACTGCCGCCTTTAGATCTACGGTAAAAAAACAAAACTGCTGAATTGGAACATAGTTCCAGTTAGACTATGTTCTGTAGACCGATGCTAAACGGCTGTCTAGTTTTGTTTTTATTATGAAAGAATAACCTTACTAACTCAGGACTTAAGGGTTTGTCATAATCGACAAGTTAAGATTTTGACGTGTTTAACCCTGGAAGGAAAAAAAAAATCCACAAGGTTATTTTAGTTGAGTAAAACAGCACTCCAGGTTCACCATGTCGCAGGGGCAGAGGGACAATGAGGGGGATGATATACAGCTGATAGAGAACAGGATACAGCATTTCTGTACCCTTGGTCTGCAGTGCTCTACTTCCCACAGGCTCCCTTGTGCTCTGTTCCCTGTTTTTGCTATGGAAGCAGTTATTACATGCAGTGAAAAGTGGCTTTAGAAGGTGTTATGATATTTCAGAAAGGCTTTGTTATTGTGAAAATTAATAAAATTAAGCCAAACCTAGTAAAGGACAAAGCAGAAACCACTAAGTCTGTAAACAAAAAACCATGGTGATATTCTAACCAACATATAAACCTCTGTGGTCTGTAGAGCAGGAAGACAGTTTCACAGAGTAAGAGAGGAAATGGCAGCACTAGGCCCCGCAATGCAGCAGCACACTGAGGCTGCGGGCTACTGTGCTGCTTCAGGGCTACTGCTCCTCTGGCCCTCGGAGGCAGTCTCAGGCCCAGACCGTGAGTAGTGCTCAAGGCGGTCGACTTGGTCATGCGCTAGCTCCAGAAAGGCCATGATGTCCTTCATCTCCTTGGAGGCCTGCAGGGCTTGTCCAAGCTGAAGAGCTATACCGGGGTTGGGCAACATCTTCATCATCTGCTCCTGCCAAAACATGAGCCATCAGGTGGCAGGGGGAGAGAGTGCCAGAGAGCAAATGCCCTAAAACTTCAAGGTTATAAAGAGAACAGATCATTAGTCCCATTAGATCTTGCCATTTTTCTACCTAAAAAGCTTTTTCATCACAGCATTTGGATTCATTTCTGAAGCTTCTTAAATGCTTGTCTCCACTACTTGGAAGATTTCTCTAGCGATTAATTATCCCCCACAGGACCACTAACAGCAGAGCCAAAGTATTTAGATGTGGTGGTGGGGGACTACTGGAGCTGCAGTGCAGTTTGTGGTTAGGAAACTATGGCCCACCAGACACGGTTCACTAATGATCAGGATCCCTCCCAAATTCATTCACCAGCTGCAAATGAAAAGACCTGAATTCATGACACTTCTGTCACTGAGATACCATATTTGTTTAGGGGGTGACGGTGACATTAACTGTGACACCACCTTCACCTTAGTTTTACCTCAAAGTCCTACATTTGTAACCATACACTGTTTCTTCTTCCTAAAAGGGTCGAATTAGTATTTTCAAACATCCTGACTCTTGATAACCACTGGACTTCATTTTAAATTAGGGAAGGCAGTCTAGAACTACAGCTGATCAAGGACTTGTGAAACCTTGATAACACTGCGAAGAACTCAGAAAGCTCTGAAAGCTTTAATTTACACTGTGTTAGTGTCTTAAAGGAATTTACAGTTGTTTGTGTGTGTATGATCAGGGCCTTAAGGAGATCTCAGTATCTTTCTTGAGACTGTGTGGGATGTTAGGACCGACTGTCCAATCTGTGGGTGTGAGGCGGTGCCGATGTACCTGAAGCAGGGGGGCTGTAAAGCTCCGGGGAGGAAGGCGGGGCAGCTGTAGGGCTTCAGGCCCTGGCCGCGGCAGCACCTGCAAGAAACCACAAAGCACATACAGTAAAACCCAGGAAGCAGAAGTTCATTTATCCAGCCTTCAGACAATTTTGCTTTCATTTTTAACTTAGAATTCACACAATCATTTAAAATTTCGGCATTTCTTTTTTACAAAGCACAAATATATTTTTTTTTAATTGAGGTATTATGCAAAATAACCTTATACAGCAAGAGAAAGCAAAAGCTCTACTTAATGTTAAAATGTATTATAACCATTTATAAATATTTGAATCACACTAGTTTAAGATTTCTCTGTCCAACTGTTTTTTTCATGGTACAAATGGTTTGTTTTTTTGGAACAAACGGACCAATGTAACAGCTTGTAAGCTCCATTAAGCTCAACCTTGTAACTTTTTACCTAATTTTAAATAAAATCAGACCCCCTGAGTTGTAGTACCTTTTGGGTGCATCTCTCCAACTTCTCCTGCTGCACCCTGAGAGTGCTGATCCTTTCTTGTAGGCTGTTCTTCTCAACTTCCATCTCTTCCAGTGTTTTGACCACACAGCTCACATTGTCCTGCCAATACAGAACACCACAGTGTCACACACAATACTTTGGCACACTGTACCACACAGCTCACCTTGTCCTGCTAATATAGAACAGCACAACATTATACACAACACACAGGCACACTGTACCACACAACTCACTGTCCTGGCAACACTGATTAGTACAGTACCACACACATCACACTACAAGCACCCGCTACCACCTAGAGCCAAAAAGATAAGTTTTTTTTGCACAAGCAGGAGTCATTTGACACCTTTAACTACTAGATTTGCCAACGCTGCACATTATAGAGACAAATAGCTTAGTGGCACATTCAAAGGTCAGTGAAACCACCATAGTATGACTGACCTTAACAGTAGTAATCTTTTATGTGACCAGAATGACTTCCTGTATATAGTCTCACTTTTTTATATATCTCTCTGTTTAGGGCTATCTATCATTCTAAGCATAACTCCCTTATTAACCCTCTCACTGATTTCCTTGGCCTGCCCCTTCCTTTCACACCCCAGCCATCTGTCACCTCTAGTTTGTGGAGGGTGTTTTTGCCAATATCAAGCTTCTCTTTCTCTACTTGATGAAGCTGTTTAATCCTTCTCATGTCACCCTGGTTTGTAGAGGGCACTTTCAGCTGTGCGCAGTGAGCCAGAAAACTGCAGAGACACAAGGTGTTGAGTGTAACAGATTTCAACAGATAAGCACGTTTAAAAAACCTAAGTTGTACAATCCCAGGTCAGGACCACAGAGAGATGAGGAGCTTTGTTCGTTTGTTAGGAGGTTTTAAAAGGGCTGTTTTCACTCAGAACAGCCGTCATTTTCTTACCTTTTATTGCAGAGGAGGGACTACGCACGATGGAACAAAAACTAGAAGGCATTATTTTGAGGCCCCTGGTGTAGGCAGACCTGCTGTTGGAAAAACTCAAACTGCTAATGTTAAACAGCTCAAATTGCTGTAATAAGTGTTGAGTGTAACACTAATTTCCACAGATAAGCATGTTTAAAAAAACACAAAGTGCACAATCAGGACCACAGAGAGATGAGGAGCTTTGTTCCTTTGGTAGGAGGTTTTAACAGGACCGTCTTCACTCACAACAGCTGTGATTTTCTTATGTTTTATTGCAGAGGAAAGAAAGAAGAATTAATAAATTGGAATTCTAAAATGGAGACAGGGAAACTGGCTATTCTCATTGTCTAATTGATAATATTTTTCCCTTTCACAAGAATGTACAACTTTTCCTTTTTAAATATCAACAAGGTAGCCACCTGTCTATTTTGTAAAAATGTACAGTGCCTTTTTTTTCCCCAATGACTCACATTTCAATGTTGCCTGATGATGTTCCAAAAGACAAGAAAAACCCACCGATACCATATTCGGCTCTTTAGCCCCTCAAGTGCCATACATTGCAGCAAAGCATTTTGGGCCTAGGCCATTAGTGCTTCCTGCACTGCCACAAAGTTCACACTGCCTGGCTGCTTTATGAACTTGGAATTCAGAGTGCAGAACTTACACCAGATAAACTGCAACTCTAACCTTGAGTTTTCTTAACTTTCATGGCAAGAACCATCTCGAAAGGTTTTTATAAAAATCATGTCACCATGACATGGTGCACAGAAGTCTAAATCCTTTGAGTAAAACAGGAACTACTATAAAAAAGTAATATGGAAACATTTTAATGATTTTTTTCTACAAAATGAAAATTTATCAATTTCTCAAAAATTAGAAACCCAGTAATAAAAAGCATACTCCAATCTGCACAGAGCTGTGACTCGCTCCAGTTTTACAAGCTGCCGGCTGTTCCACCAGTTTTACTGAAAAAGAGGAAACATGCGACAAGATTTCTAAATCTCAGGTTACCTCCACTGTTCCCTTGGTTCTCCGCTTTACTTAGAAGTGTGTCAAATGCACAACATCCTTCACGTGGTGCTGGTTTACGAACTTACTGGGGTCATCACCTGGCAAACCTGGAGGAAACCAAACTGCTATGCTCTGGGAGTCAGACCATTAGTCCCCTCACAGATTAGAGATGCAGCTCTGCCAAAAGCAAGTCTACAGCAGTGGTCTGAAACAGTTTCTAGAGGACCTAGGGACACAATTCTAATTAACTGTGTAATTTTACCAAGCTCTGAAGTGTTTTAAGTGCCTTTAATGAAGTGAATACTTTAAATAACAGTGTATAGAACTAAGAAAAGTCCCAGAAACGTGTAACCATCCTGTTATTCAACTGACTAAATAAGATGGAACAAAAACTAGAAGGCATTATTTCTGGTTATATTATATAGACCCCTGGTGTACACAGACCTCCTGTTGGAAAAACCCAAACTGCTAATGTTAAACAACTCAAATTGCTGTTGAGTGTAACACTGATTTCCACAGATAAGCATGTTAAAAAAAAGAGAACAGACTGCAAAACACAGTTATCTGAGCTCTTTAATCTACCTCAAGCTGAACAATTTAAAACTAATACTTTCCATTCTGCCAGTGTCACTGATCACATCCTGTATTAAAGCTTTAATCATTCTGTGGAATCTGGGGAAGAAGCTCAGAATCACAATTTTAGCTTTGCCACAATACGGATTCAGAAAAAAATAACATTTCAAAAAGTTCCATGACATGGACCTGCTTTGTGATGTACACTATTTATGGTTCCAAAATGAAATTAATGGTCTCCTGAAACATTTACATTTGATTTCAGAAAGTATAAGACTTGGGGAGGAGATCACAAATTGAGCCAAACATAATGATGATATTTTAAGTAACCCACAACTTTCCACACTGATTTTAATGTTTCTAACAGACATTACATTTTTTATGTTTTAATCAAACATTAGTTAATCAATGCTTTCATTAAGAACATATAATACAGGTATGCTGGGACGCTAAAATGCCTTAATATCAAGAACACGGCTCAGCTTGCTTCAGTATCACTCCTGCTAACTGGTCCTCTTAATTTTTAAATGGCATAATACTATGATGGTGTCACATGTGCAAGCAGCAAGAAATTTCCACAGACATTGGTCCTTCATTGACAATGTAGTTTCTACAACAGTACTAGAGTTCTTAACTGCAGACAGGGAGATAAGAGGGAACTCTTATGTTTAAACTTTCAAAGATATCAACAACTCTTCCACTTTCTGCACACTTTGATTTTTAAACACAGACAAATGCGGATGCGTTCTGTGCATTTTTATAGTATCCTGTCTGTATGGGTAATTTCTGAGTTTAACTTGAAACCACAAATGAAAAATCAAGGGTGGGGATGGAAAGAAAATTAGCTTATTTGGGTCAAACCCCAGTGTCTCTATCGACTCCTTAAGTAGTCACAAAGTATCGTAAAGGTTCTAATTAGTAACAAGTCTTTCGGGAAACAGCTGGATCAGATCCTCAGATCATTTAGCTATTATAGACTAACTACCAAAAGGTTACAGAGGTCAAATGGCCTACTTTCATCTATAACCTTTCTCATGTTTATGAGTCAAAGTTTAAATGAGGTCCCTTTCACTTACCTTTCACCACTGTGTGGTGAAATTAGCTTTTGAATCTGTGTCTGATCAGTACTACAGGTTAGTGAAATTGCTTTGTATAAAAGAACAGAGAAAGGCTTGATCTGGCAGGCAATGTGAAGTCATGGTTCTCAGGGTCACAGCAAAGAGCTTTGCGAGACTGGAGCTGCTGTGGACCAGACTGTGACACAGCAAAGGTCTCTGTCCCCATGAGATTCTGCAATCCAGAAGCTACACCTAAAGTATACTATTTACCACAACACTTTTGAAAACAAAATGTAAGATAAGTTGCTGGCATTACAAACTTGCCACATGCTTACACTGCCCACAAAAAACTCTTAAGGCTAATCTACACTACGCACAATTTTTATTGACATCTGATGTCCAGTTACGCAGCCGTTCAATGGGTAGAACTCTGAAGTCTACACTGGCAGCACATGTAGCCTATGAAGCTGTCATTATGTTGTTATGAATTATGAGCTGTTATAATCTTTCAAGCAAAAGGAGTGTAGTGGCTATACTCGGGCCACTGTCCAGTGACAACTCGACACAGCCTTGAGAGCACCACCCTCACCTGTCCTTCTGCTTGTTGAGTTGTCTCTGAAGCTCTTCTCGATCCTTCCGGCTCGAAGACAACACTGACCTGAGAGAAAGAGAAAGAGCAGGAGGAAAAGCAAAATGAGGCAGAGAGAGCAATGAGAAGAAAAAGAGAAATGAATGGAAGATGAGAGATACAGATAAAGGGAAGAAATCAGACAATCAGATCCTTTGTCTGTCTCTCTGACCAGTGAGATACTATAGTCCTCCACTGAATAGTCATTATTGTGATTCTGTGACCCTCAGACCCTTTGGCTGACCATCAGACACTGAGATACCACCGCCCTACAACTAGTCTCTGACCACTCCCTCAGTCCTGCTACCGGCTCAGCATGCTGAACTGCACATCTGCACCGCATGTGGCAGATACTGTCTACCCTGCAAGATATCGTCTTGTAAAAAGGACTGAGCCCCCAGAATTCCATCCAAAAGCAGCTTTCAGATCATTACTTTCCTCCACTACAGGCATGATCAAACATTTTAAAATAGTCAAAAAACAATTAAATAAAATTCAGTTCCTGATACTCTTCATATATGAACCTACTCTTGCCAGAAAGCCATCCTCTACAAGTAAATAATAAATGAATTCATTTTAAAATTGTTTATAGTATATATTGACAAGAGTTCAGTCTGAAAGTCAAGATAAGATAAGGGATGAAGAGCGTGTTGTCAGCAGTGTGTTGTGAGCACTTACAAAATTGCCATATTTAGGGTTTCGCTTAGATACTGCAAGGAGGATTTGGGCAAGGGCTTCCAATCCTTCAAGACTTTCCCTTTCTTTCCAGCAGGAAGCACCACGGAACACACTGGAGAGAATCACAGGAAAAGTTCAACCATGCAGAGCTAGGAAAACCATTTGAAGTTCAAGTCTCTGATTCAACAAAGGTTTGTAATTTGCTGTGTAGCAGCATTCTGCAAAAAAATAAAATCTGAGAACCTGGAAAAAACTTTTTAACTTGTTAATACTGGATCTCTCTGGAGTTAGATCTAAGGTAATTATTACTTAGCTGACTTGGCTCAATGCAATGTAAACTCAAAATAACAGAGCTGTAAAAAAAGATATGAAAGCTTTATAGGTTATTAAAACAGTTTAAATTACTACTGTACAACAAGGGGGAATTTTAGTAGAAGTATTATATTATTTTCTAACAGTTACAACATTTGAACTCAAATATGACATTAACTGAAACCTGATCTTCCACTTCAGGGTCCTGATAAAAGACTTAATACAGCACATTTAATTCACTGTGCAAAAAGATAAAAAAGGTAGAGATAAACACAGACTTGGTTCAAACACTAAAAAAGCAAATTTCTTAAAATGTGTTAGATGTGTTTCAGTCCTTGACAAACCTAGGAAAAGTGTCCCAGACATGGGGGCGGTAGTCTCTTAGGAGCGTACAGAAGGTAGACTGCAAGTTTTTTTGTGGCATGTAGAGACAAAGGAAATTCTTGATAGAAGATGAGCATGCTTTCTTGACCTTGCTAAAGCCTACAGTGTACTATTCTGACAAACCTGTGCCCAACCTTTGTAGAAAAAACAGCAAACAAGGGTTTTACAGCAAATAATCCTTTTTGCAAAATGAAAGTGTTTAGGGTTTTATTGCATCAATAATTTTTCATTTAAATAATTAGAGAAGCTGTGCAAAATAGGCAAGGGCTAGAACCTTGAACTGCTTGGAGTCAGTAAATGGAAGGCAGACAACATCACACAGAGCAGTGTTGCAGGAGCGCCCCCTCTTGATGCAAGCACGCAAGACAAGATTTAGATGCTAGATTAGCATTTTCAGTTGTGACTGTAAGCAGTCACACACTCTTTTTAGTTTAATTTTGCAGAGTCTGTTTGCTTCCCAGATGTATACTTATGCAAATATTGGTATCTAGTATCTGGAAAAAAATGTTTATTATGCTTTATCTCTTGAAACCCATCCATCCTTGCAGATAGGATCTACAAGATAAAATACAAGTTATCAATACAAACAGGATTGCGAGGGATTTGACCACAGTCATTAAGAAGCTGGAGTTAGTGTCCCAGGCAGACATTCATAATCTCCCATTTATTTCAAACATACAGATTAGCAAATACAGATACTGCTAGGCAGGCCTGGTGAAAGGGCTACAGCAATCCAAACACAAGCACCCCCTGTCTCCCAAACAGCTCTTATTTCCATCTCACCTTTCTTTTTCTGGGGCTCACTACGCTGGGTCTTCCCTTTGGACACTGCCACCTAGAGAAAAAAAAATACAGTGTTTAATCTCCAGGTTTTTTTCTGCTTCCTGGCGCTCCTTCTGCACAGAGCCTTTAAGCGATGGATTGTGCAGGCCTGGTGACCCACCGACAAATCGGGCTTTGAGCAAAGACTCCCCTGCAAGGTGTTCAAAATCGTCTTATGTCCAAATTGTACATCACTAACCCAGAAACATGCAAACATGTTCAATGTCATATCAAACATAGGGGTACATTTAACATTAGACATGTAGGATGATTTGTGGTGTAAAAAGAAATAAAACAACAACCGCTAGTCGTAGCCCAGGACTGGATCTTGGGCAATGCTATTCTGTAAAAACAGTTTACACCACATGCTACTTCCTGTTATGGCAATTCTAAATTGCTGTTACATGAGACAGGAAGTTGGGAAGACAACACGGAGCTTGTCCTGCAAACATATAAAAGTTATTTACATAGCAGCACCCAAAACACATTCTCCCCTCCACATTCTCAGGGGTTCCCAATTCTGAACAGTGATAGGGCTTTTCAGTTCTGATTAATTTTAAATGAACAAGTGACTGGGGGAAGATTCACATGATCTTGATCATGATCATTATGAGAGTACTGTTCTATTAACTTTATGGGGCTCTACCACATGGCCACATGCTAACTCAATCCTGAATCACTTGTCAGCTATGACTAGGATTCCCCAAGAGAAAGAAAACTATTGGCTATAGTGTGGGATTGAGATTAGTTGGTTAAAATTCTTTCAGTTCTTGGCACAACAGCGACTCCTTAGACTTGCAATGCACCTGCAGGTTTTGCAATGATGTTAAAGAAAAAAAAACACTGCTCTTCCTGTCAGCACTAACCCTGCAGAGCACTGTAGAGCTGGGCTATGAATCAGATGAATGGTTCTGTAGGTTAGAATATCAAAAGAGAATGTCTAACTCTTTATAAAGTGATTGGATTCCTTAAGGAACCAAGACACTTGAGAACCAGAAATTTCAAACTGAGTGGCTACATAATAAGTAAACAGGTTTATTACTTTTTATGTTTTAAAAAAGAAAAAAAAATATGATGTCAAACTCAATCCATCAGATGCATGTAAAATGCATATATATCATCCAACTTCTAACTGCTTCTTCTAATACAGGGTTGCGGATGAGCAGGAGCCCATCCCGGCAGGTGCAAAGCAGGATACACCCTGGATGGGAAGCCAATTTAACACAAGGCACACACAGACACCCGCACCAGGAGTAATTTTCCCAGAAGCCAATTAGCCTACCAGTATGTCTTTGGACTATAGGAGGAAACTGGAGCACCTAGAGGGAACCCATGCAAACAGGAGAGAACATACAAAAACACAGATGGCACCCCACCTCTGGAATTGAACCCAAGGCCCCAGCACTGTGAGGCAGCAATGCTAACCACTGTGCCACCAATGCATATATTTATTAAAGAAAATGTCTCAGATACAGTATATGACCATATTGGAATTTTCCCTTAAAGGTTAGAAAACAGCGTGTCATCTGAATATACCTGAGGGAAAAATTAGGGATGAGGTGAACAGGAGCCAAAAGGCAAAGGGATGGCACTCAGATATGCATGAGAGGCAGAGAGTGAATGAAACCTGAAGCACAATGGTCCAGCAGTCCAGTTGAATGCACTGCCTGTGTGAAGGACAGAGAAAGTCAGAGCACCATGAATGCTATAGCAGACAGATACAGACACGCCACCAGGGAGCTCATTACTGTCCTCGGAAGCACACACTCATCATCACTCAGGGACACATTTGCACACTTCACTTAGAGCTCTCCTCTGACTCAGCTATGAGAATAAATATGTTAGACTCCCGGAAGACAACAGTGCTCTCCTGGGATAAGCAATCAGGCTCATTAGTTTCCATCCTATTTTACCTTTCTGCTTCTTCAAAATTGCTTTTGTCTGAGCCCAGTGCTTAAGGCTCACATTAAATTAAAGAGGCTGCAGCTTCACCGACTATGAACTCAGTAATCAAGGGCATCTCTTTTTAAGGAAATCCACCATCAAGGATTAAGAATGAAAATTTGTACTGGCAGGCAGACAAAAATCTAAGAATCATTGCATGGCAATTCTAATCTGATTTCAAGGTTTTCAAAGACGCCTAGTTTGATGTACATGACAGGGTTTATTGTATATTTGGTTAAATTTGCGTGGGGAATGTTTGCAGAAATATTATGTGGATTTCAGAACTATTCTTGTGCCATTTATGTCCTTTTTCACATAGACGTTTCTGCATAAAAAACCCTTGGAAATGCTTGTGTTCAGGCCACAGCAGAAAACATACATCTGTGTCACTGCTGTGTTGTCCGTAGGGCTTTTCTGTATAATCCACTCATTTCAAAACTTCACTGAGTTGTGTAACAACGTCACTCATCCCTCTCTCACCATTTCTCACCTGTGAGGATACTTGTCGTGAAGGTGTAGGGCCGGCAGGCCTGCCGGAGGCTCGTGGAGGTTTCTGCACGATCAGAGGAGAAGGGAGAATGAAGAGACAGAAAGAGAGGCCACTACAAACCACAGGCAGGAGGCTGAACACCCTTTAGGTACTAGGGTACTAGGAAAACAAAAACAAGGGCAAGTTTACATAAACATCCTGCAGAGACAACTTTCACTGCTAGAATGGGGCTGCTAGCTCACACTGTATCACTCTCGTTTTAAAAATCTAGTTCAAATGTAGCTTTCTCTTAAATCAACTCAATCATTAGAATCAATGGACAGTTGCTTTCTGGGAGACCCTTGAACTTGTGAACTTGTGAAATGTTTGGCAATTTGGAATAGGTTGCCCTTTCTTGTGGGTTCTTAGCCCTTAACTCACCTATTCCGGTTTACAAAAAATGGTGTGATATCATTGTTGATACCAACCTGTGCATTCTCCAGGGAGTGAGGAAGGCTCTTGAACCAAGGGTTTTCCTATTTCACGTACCTCAGACCTATATCTAAATTTGAAATCTAAATGTTTTAATAACTGCTACAAGGGGTATATCCTCTTCCCCATATGGCTTGCTTCACTTGGCTAAAATCAGTCCTCTCACAGCTATGAACAGCAAATGAATCTGCCTTTGAAAAAGCAGCACCGCAGGTAATCCACTTTCATCTTGCACATTCAATATACACAATATCATACTGGTGGTTCCAGATGAAGATTTCTCCTAACCCTCATTCTCAAATACATGCTCATGGTGTACCTGTTACTGACACACAGGCCATTCTCGGGGCATTATTAAGCACCAAACGACCCTACCCCACAATCATTCTTGGGGTGCTATCAAAGCCCAGAATGACCCTGCTCCAGTATTATTCCCAGGAAACTATCAACCTTGAGAGTCAAAAGGCTGTATTTTAGTTTTATTCCTGTATCACTCGCTTAATGTTAACAATTGCTACAAGAGAGCCAGCAACACCAAAAGGCCAACAACACAATAATAATGCAACACCTTTCACAAATTTAACAAATTCAACAATGTAATAAGAACAAGAGACACTGAACAGAGCCCCAGCGATACCTATTGACACCATCACCACTGGGCAGGCACAGATGAGGCACAGGCTTAGGATAACTTAACTTTCTGGAAAAAAAAAAATCCTGTAAAACCATATCTACAATGAATGACTGACACTCTATACTGACTTTGTATTACAAACACATTTTATTGATTAATGTAACCTATTGATTCTCTGGAAAGTTTTAGCTCTTATTTAACTGCATTACATACTGCTATTGTGCCAGTGTATTTGTTTACTGTTATATGACTTTAAGGATTACCCTGCAACTCACTGAACCTCAGCAGGTGTGAGCCTGGTCAGTACAGTATGTGGATGGGAGACCTCCTGGAAAAAAGACTGCTGCTGGAAGGGGTGTCTGTGGGGCTAGTAGGGGGTGCTCACCGTGCAGTACGTGTGGGTCCTAATAGCAACAGGAACACTATACCGTAGAAACGCACCGTCCTTCTGATGAGACGTAAAACGGAGGTCCTGACGCTCTGGGGTAATTAAAAATCCCAGGATGTTTCTTGAAAAGAGTACAGATGTTACCTCAGCATCCTGGCCAAATTTCCCATTGGCCTTTACCAATCATGGCCTCCTAATAATCGATATCTATGAATCGGCTTCATCACTCTGCTCTCCTCCCCACTAATAGCTGGAGTGTGGTGAGCCTACTGGCACACTACATACTGCCGTCGCATCATCCAGATGGGGACTGCACATTGATGCTGGTAGAGGGGAGTCCCCATTACCTGTAAAGCGCTTTGAGTGGAGTGTCCAGAAAAGTGCGATATAAGTGTAAGGAATTATTATTATCATCACTGAAGGTTACCTGCATTAGCATAAAAAGTATACAGGTCTGCTAGCATACAAATTTACAAATTAAAATTTGATTAAAACTAACAAAGTACGCTGATTAGCTGGTGTAATGCAAAACTGATTGTTTAGGACTAGCATTATCAATAGAAACACTAGAATATTATGTTTGATTTATACTACACAATTTTGATTGTTTAGGCCTAGTACTTTATTGAAAGTGACAATATGGAAATCAAGCTTAGTTTGATAAATGTAATATACAGACAAATGTTTTGTTGGGATGCTTTTTTGTATAGCTCTAGTTTATGCAGCCAAATGTATTGGTCAATATACAGTATAGTATATAAATATCGAGTAGTTGTTTATTGACATATACTGTTTACTGGTTTATTGATCACATCTGTATTTGGAACTGATTCATAAACATAATGGTGTGATACATAAACTAGCTAATACTCCGTTCTCCTTTGTTAAAAGGTTTCGTTGATTAAGGAAATGGACTTTCAATACTTGGTGCCTGTGTAACGATATTTACAGATGAAAGCTAGTACTCATTTGGGTAGAACGTTACGTGTTTCAGAAATTTCTACAATCAAACTTCTTTCAAACTCTGTATTTAGAAACTATGTACAGTATAGTTAAAACTGCCGCTGTGGAGGAAAACAAAAGCTTCGCAAACATTTACATGTACTTGAAAAACACCGGATCCATAATTCACCGTGCGTGTTAAAGCAATCCGGATGTGCCGATGAAAGACGTGTTCCCCTTCTGCAGTTCCCCACACCTGAAATCCATAACCGAAACGTTGAGTCTCTTTTCTTTTCATCATGGAATAAACCTTTAATTGTTCCTGTGTTCTCCATCTGTCAGGATGTGCTAACACTACGGATCTCAATCCTAGGACAGCGAGGCAGTAGTAAACACGACCTCTGAGACGTCCGACTTTCAAGCAACACATGAGGCAGTGTCAGCTGTTATCGCCAGCGCCAAAATGAACGTTACCAAAAGCCAGCAAAAATAAAAATATAAATTGATACGCAACGCTTTTACCGAAATAGGTGAGAATATTACAATGCTGAGTTCAATAAAGACAGAAAAGGAAATATCCAAATTACACTGCTTCATATTTTCAACTTCTGTATCTACAATTACTGCAATGTAAGCAAAAAATTGCAAATATTAAATCGACACTGATCGAATTTCATGCAGAGAAAACGCCGAACACTAACCTTATTCACCATGGTCGTGGCTAACACTGGTCTTGCCTTACGTTACGGTCACTGGATGCAAGACTCCTGCAGCCACTGCCAGCTGTCGGTCTGATCTCAGACGCGGTTTCAAGAAGAACGATTTTTTCAAAACCTTATTGGACAGAACTCACCAAAAGAATTGCATTTAATTTTACAGGGGGCGACTAAAAAGCTTATGCGTTGTATAGCCACATATTGGGTAGCAATTACAAGAATAATATTGGTTAAATAAATGTCGAGTTATTCAACCTCTGTCTCCCGCCGCAACTTTTCAAAGCTGCGCAGAATCTGTCAGGACCAACGCTGACGAACCTGGGTGACGTCACCCAACCTCATCCGGAATGTACCACTTGATTTTATTCTTTCCTACAAAATTGTGCTTTTTCACTGAATGAGCCAACAATGCTATGTATGTGCTTCCAGTAGTCCATATTAAAAGGAATTAGGCAAAATCAAGATAGAATCGCATTATCCGGCACATTGGTGGTGGTGGAGGGGAGTCCCCATTACCTGTAAAGCGCTTTGAGTGAAGTGTCCAGAAAAGCGCCATATAAGTGTAAGCAATTATTATTAATTATAATTATTATTATAAGAATAACAGTCTTGGGGTTCTGGAATCTGACGTTTTCTGTCCCTTTAAGTTATCAATAGCATAAGGGAGTGGGGAAAGATTAACATGTCTACCTAAAACTTAATCCTTTCAGTTAAAAACCTGTCCCAAATGAAGAAATGTAAAGGGAACATATAAAAACCTACTGAACTCTGGGCACCAAGTTCTAGTGTTTAGTTAGACCAGCTTTTAGTCTCAAAACTATTAAAAAAACACCAATAGAAAAGCTATTTTCCCTACTCTTAATTTAACTGTTACACTCACTGTTAATCCATCACAGAAACAGATAATGTCATTGGTAGTAGTTCAGGTGGGTAGGTGCGTCAGCATGCATAGGCTGCAAAGGAACAAGTAATAGGTTTATTCCATGCTGAAAAAAAGAAGAAAGAGAACACAATGTTTCAGCCGTGGAGCCTTCTTCAGGTGTGAGAGAGACAGGGCAGTAGGCAAAGGTAAAGT